TGATGGTGGACTCTGGAGGGTTCTGTAAAGTCAAATAGATAAGTTACATCAATTTTTGAGATAGCAAATGAAAATTTGACTTCAAGTAAGCCATGTCCCATAACTATGAACTATGAAATATGAATTATCATTATGAATATTCATATTACAGGCAACATTGAACTTCAACCAATGTATACAAATCATATATCAAATGGAGGGCAGGTTTATGAACATATACATAATTATTCTGTAAAACCTGAATTTGAGTTAGAAAATATATGCCCTTTGTAAACATTGATTTGAACCTATCTTAGACTTTTAAAGTTTATGTTATTAAATTTCGGAGATCCTTTTGAAACTATTGACCCCTTATTTGCCCATCTACGAGCATCCTTTCAGAAAGAATCCACTTATTATTAGGTTATGACCTTTGAGAATAGGTCTCATTTTGAAACCTCATGAACAAAAGGAAGGCAATGATACAATAACGTCATGCCTTGTAGGGTGTTGAAGGACAGGCCTCCACTGTTCATATGACACCACTTATGAGGCTCTAGACCAATCACACACTGCAGGAAGGGCTTGATGAACATTAAATGTTCATCTTCTGGTAACGAGTGCAGAAGGAGACATGCTGAATGAAAGGGAAGGAGTGTCTTTCAGCAGGAATTTCGGTTCTGTTATGGATCTTATGATTTTCTGCCTGCATGTGTTATTGTTGTTGTAATGAACATCAGTAAACTTCATATTTCATAACATATTTCATAAGCATGCACATCACATAGGACACAGCACAGGAGGCCAGTAACAGCGCTGCTGCTCCATAGGATGCTATTGGTGGATTATTGTTAGAGATGTGTCCTACTGATACTGATGGAGACCACCTTCAGGAATGAATTATGCTTGAGCATCTGACAGACAGTGCTGAGTATCTGACTCTGACAGTTGGTGAATTATGTGATGTATACATATATTTTTGAAATATTCACGTTTCCAATGGACAGAAGGTCTGTGATGCTACAGAAAGTTATTTGAGGTTGATTTGGTATTTTGGAGAGATTTTGTGCCAAAAGAGCAGCTACTCTAAAGTATTGTCAGTATAGCTGGGCAGTGTGTGCTAATGTGCGCTGATTCCCACCAAACAACCCATACATGGTATGTTTAAAGAAATTCTTGTTAGATGCTGTCTTAGCAGTTTGGAATGAAAAGGACACTTGTAGATACAAAAAAGGCACTTGGAAAAGGCATCTGTTAACCTTTACTCAGACTTGAAGAACTTTATAACAACCCATTAGAAAGAAATGTGAGCTATAGTGTACACAAATATTTTTTAGAAAAAAATACAAAAGGTGCCTCAATTATTTGGCTTTCTGAAGTAAATTGTAAGCATATGGTATTATATTTATATCATAAAACACATTTTCTGTTCATTTGAGGAAAGCACAAACACTTTACATTTACAGTATTTCATGCAGTTACTAACTAATTTACCTTAAGATTCAGGCATGTAAATTCAGGTGGAATATCCAAAACATGAGTGTAAGGTCAGGCACAGGTGATGCCAGTTGTCACTAATGCTATAAGGAATCTCTCTGCCTCCCTCTGGTGGCTGAGATGGGCATATCCAGGGGCATCAGTAGACATTTATGGATGAGTGGAACTAAGCCATCATTAGAGTGGTCTTTTATGGCCCTAAAATGTCTGTTCATCATCACAAACAGAAAAAAAAAATGTCGATCAAAAATATGAGTATTTGGTGACACTGACAAGACTGAAGATCTGTTTCTTCAAACAAACATACAACCCCATTTCCAAAAAAGTCAGGGATGCTGTGCAAAATGTACATGAGAATGCAATAATGTGCAAATCATTTAAACCCTATATATCATTTAAAATAATACAAAGACAACATATCAAATGTTGAAACTGAAATTTTATGGTTTGGAAAAACATATGACCATTTTTAATTTTGCATCATCTCTTCTTTTAACAGCACTCTGTGTTTGTTAACTGAGGAGATCAACTGCTGTAGTTTTGAAATTTAAATGTTTTCCCATTCTTGCTTGATGTAGAATTTCAGATGCTCCTTTGTCATATTTTTCATTTCATAATGCAAAAAACTTTCAATGTGTAACAGGTCTGGACTGCAGGGTAAGTATTTTGCTACAGAGCCATTGATCCCGTAAGACATGCAGAATGTGGTTTGACATTGTCTTGCTGAAATAATCAAGGCCTTCCCTGAAAAAGACGTCGTTTAGATGGCAGCAAATATTGCTTCAAAACCTGTTTATATCATTCAGCATTAATAGTGCCTTCACAGATGTGCATGTCCCATGCAATGTGCGCTAATGCACCCCGCTATGATTTCCATCGGATCACAGGACACTTTTCCACTTCCCCTCAGACCATTCTAAATGAGCTTAGGCCCAGAGAAGGTGGCAGCATTTCTGGATCCTGTTTATATTTGGTTTCTTCTTTGCATTTTAGAGTTTTAACTTGCATTTGCAGTGCAGTGATGAACTGTTTTCACAGACAATGGTTTTCAGAAGTGTTTCTGAGTCCATGCAGTGATTTCCACTACAGAATCATGTCTGTTTTTAATGCAGTGCTGTCTGAGGGCCCAGTAATCATGGTCAGCCAGTATTGATTTTTGGTCTTGCCTCTTGCTTACAGAGATTTCTGCAGATTCTCTGCAGATTCTTATTATGTACCCTATATGATGAAATCCCCAAGTTCTTTGCTATTTAACCTTATGAAACATTATTCTTGAATTGTTGTAATATTTGCCCACACAGTCTTTCACAGAGTGGTGAACCCCTCCTCATCTTTACTTCTGAAAGACTCCGCCTCTCTGGTGTAGTGAGAAATTTAATTCATCTATTTCCCTCTTACGCCATAAGCACAACTTATTTTTAGCTTTAACTTAGGTTAGGGTTTTCCTGGAGCCAGCAATATTGTGATAATTATGGCAGAATCCTCAGGTCTTCAGCAAAGGCACGGGACTTTCTGTCCTTATGAGATTTCTAAATCTGATTAAATGCGAAGGACTTCTAAAATATCAGAATAATAATTTCATTTAAAAAATTTGGTTACAGTTTAAGAATCATGAAATAAATACCAGAACTGTAGGAAATTTTAGTATTAATTCACATCTGACAATTATGCGTGGGGAAATATGGGATTGAGTTACCCACTGATATTTTAAGAGAGAGAGGTACACAGAGGCATTCTTTCACAGTCCAATTAACAAAGGAGAGTCATTCAAATTAGCCTTTGATTAAAGATTGGCATGTCACTGTTTGCAAAAGAGTGGAGAATGAAACAGAGTTTTAAGCTTTAGTCTCTGAAAGTGCCCAAGGATTTTACAACATGCCCCTGGAATGCACTCTGAGTGTTTGCAGAAGGAAATTTTTTGAGGGGGTTCATTAGGTAGCCAACCCAGGGTTATCTGGTCATGATGTATTTTATCTTGATGCTTGAGCAAGAAGATAAAGAGGTGTGTGGGGGGAAGAGAGATAAATAGAGGGTCCCCAAAGAAGAAATTTTCAAAAGCCAAAAAACTTTGTTTTTGTATCCAGACTTTAGTTTTCTTAAGCCAAAAGTCTCCAGACATACTGGGTAAGTTGAGAAGATAGATGGTTCTGAGGTCAGGTCCTCCTCCCTTGCACAGTGCTACCACAAGGTGAGAGAGATAGCAGATAAGGGAGTTGAGAGAGTCCTCAGAGGATTCTGGGGCCACAAAACTTGATTCGTCAGATTTTGACCAGACATCCTGGCACCTGGTGATTGCTGTTTGTATCTTAGGTCAAAAGGGTTAACTTTTTCCAAAGAGTTATGCTTAGTTTATGAATAAAATAGCCAAATCTGCTAGTCTGGTATGCTTTTTTATACCCAGTCATATTACTGACTTGCTACCAATTAACCTAATTAGTTGTGAGATGTTCCACCAGGTGTCTTTTGCAGTCTTTCCAGTCTTTTGTTGTCCCTGTCTCAACGTTTTGAAACGTGTTGCTGGCATTACATTTAAAGCGGGCATTTATTTTTCAAATAGGCATTAAAAAATAAAAACATTTCATATGTTGTCTTTGTACTAGTTTTAATTAAATGTAGGGTGTAAATGATTTGCACATCATTGAATTCTGTTTTTCTTTACATTTTGCACAGTGTCCCAACTTTTTGGAAACAGGTTTGTAATACACATCTAATATGTTTTATATATTAACCATCCACTCACAACAGGCACAGATCAAGAAACAGTACTGAAGTCAAGCAATACTATTTCTGATCTCTTAAAACTGCAGGTCTATAATGTGTTATTCAAATGCCCAGGCTGTAGATTAGTACCTGTTCAGATCTGCTTCTTCAGCCCTGACAGCCTGATTAAGGTCCTTTCTCCCCATCTTCTTGCCTGTTTAGGATCACATTATTTTTATTAAAATCAGATTTCCAAAAATCTGAGGCTTAATGAGACATGAGTGTATTCAATTTTTAAATTTTAACTGGCAAGCCAGTCTTCTCACCTGACTGACTTTCAGCAGCTGCTGCTCCTCTTGGAGAAAAGGGGAATCTGTAGATTGAGGAACTGAGAGATATGAAATTGTGTTATGATTAACATTATGTGGCCTTGTCATTGGTGTTGTCTCATTGTAAACTCCAGTATGTGGTTGTTTCCAAATATTGAAGGGAAATATGAGAACAAAGAATAGAAAGAGATGTCAGGAACATTATTTCTATTTTTTTTCCTTGTTCACACTCTCACTATCTGTGAAGTTTCTTCAAATTTACACTGATGCCAAATGTTAAGGTTAAATAGCCATTAATGTTACTTTTCAGAGAAAGACCCACCCCCATGTCTTATATGATTGGCTTACAAATTATGAGGTCTGATATGATTGGCTGAGCCGGGGATTACATTCTACCCTGAGCTAAACAGTAGGATTTCAGTATACTCTTAGAAAATCTCTGGTAGCTCAGCCAAGGCAGTGGTGAATGAGAGCAGCAGCAGCAGCAGTGCCCCCCCAAGTTCACACCCGGCTATCACAGTTTGTTGAGTGAATAAAGAATGAGAACTATGTATAGATTTATTTACGTGGGCTAACTAACATTTTAGGAATGTTAAAACTGCCTGAAAACTGACAAAAAAACTGCAAAAAACCTGACAAAAAATCTTACAAATACATAATTATTTTGTATTATTTGTCACTGAATAACCTTGGTTGTTGCCAACGTGCTTAAAATATTGACTGAAATATTTCTGTTTCCGGTGCACTCTTCTGGCCGCACTGGTGAGGTATGTGTTATGGTGAACTCTCGATGGGGAACAGATGTAGCAGTTCTAGCCAGTCACTGCTCTCCAGACATTGAACTCATAACAATCAAAGTTCGACCCTCTTTTTGCCCAGGGACTTCAGCTCAGTCATTCTCACTACAGTCTACATCCCACCTCAGGCAGATAAGTCATGTGCATTGGAAGTTTTGTACGAGACCATTAATGGACTTGAGAATGTTCATCCTGAGGCTGTTTTTATTGTGGTTGGGGATTTTATCAAGGCAAACTTGAAAAAGAAAGAACACCGATGTAAGAATGCTGTTCATAGATTACAGCTCAGCATTCAACACAGTCATCCCTGCCAAACTCATTCCTAAGCTCACAGACTTGGGTTTGAACTCTCATCTCTGCAGCTGGATACTGGACTTCCTGACGAGTGACCCCAGGTGGTGAAATTTAACAGCTTTAACAGTTGAAAGGGAACAGCTTTTCTATTCCACACTGACTCTGAGCACAGGGGACCCCCAGGGATGTGTGCTCAGCCCCCTCCTGTACTCCCTGTATACAAATGACTGTGTAGCCAAACACGCATCTAACATCATCTTCAGGTTTGCTGATGACACCACCATCCTAGGCCTCATCACTGATGGAGATGAAACAGCCTACAGAGACGAGGTCAGCGCTCTGTCAGAGTGGAGCCATGACAGCAACCTCTGTCTCCACATCAGCAAAACAAAGGAGCTGATCGTGGACCACAGGAAGCTGCAGAGAGGTGGTCACTCTCCCCTGTTCATCAATGGAGTCGAAGTGGAGAGAGTCAGCAGTGTGAAGTTCCTTGGCGTACACCTCACTGATGACCTCACCTGGTCCCTCCACACCAACACTATTGTGAGATCTGCCCGTCAGCATCTCTTCTTCCTGCGCAGGCACAGGAAGTTTGGTCTGCCTCCTCAGATCCTCACCAACTTCTACAGATGCACCATAGAGAGCATCCTCACAGGCTGCATCACTGTCTGGTACAGCAGCTGCACCGCCTGCGACCGCAAGGCCCTTAAAGGTGTGGTGAGGATGGCAGAAGCCATCATTGGCAACAAACTACCAGCCTTACAGGACGTCTACCAGTCCTGCTGCCTCAGGAAGACCAAACAGATCCGGTCAGACAGCGTCACCCAGCACACAGCCTGTTCACCATCCTGCCAGCAGGCAGGAGATTCCGCAGCATACAGGCCAGAACAGCTCGGCTAATGAAGTTTCTGAACAAGCTGTGAAGCTGTGGGTCCTTTTCCAACTACCATTTCACTCAGTCACTCTGTCAGCATTATTATTATATCATCTCTGCTATGGACAATAACACTTTAACACTAAGTCATTTTAAAGAACAATAACACTGAGTCACTTAAGTCACTTTAAAATGTATATTGTATATTCTTCAAAGATTATCCCTTGTTTAATATAAATTTATTTGTGCATAGCAGAGAGGGTTTTTTTTCTTATATAAGTCCCTCCTGCCTCTATATTTTGTCTATATTTTGTTGTGTATATTTAACATATTTCAGTTTGTTTTTCTTGTATTTGTATTTTTACTTTGTTTACTTTTTGTAGAGTGACTATCTGAGTCTCACCACATGCATTTCAATGCATGAATGTCCTGAAATGTTGTGCAAATGACAAAGAAACTTGAAAATTAAAACATACATATGAATGGCTATGGCTAGTTATGAGAACTTCAGTAGTTTCTGAAGTTTTGTTCCCTGTGAAAACAGATATCCTGATAATGTGGTGTTGAAGTGTAGACAACTGTGTGAAAATGCAACAACTACCCAATCAGCAGTGACATTATTGGTTCACAGCTGACCTTAAAACAGCTGTGTTTGCCCACAGACTAATCTGCCCACTTTGCTTAGCTCTGACTGAGACTTTGCCTTCTTGAGGTATGAACACACTCATTCTGTAAACATATGACACCCCCATGACATACATATGAGGGTTTATGCAGGAAGTTAACAGACTAGTCTTGGAAAATGCAAACCAAAAAAGCATTTTTTCACTGAGACCACTAATAATTCTACAAGCTCCAGCAATAAGCCCTCAAATGAGAAATTAATATTAGTTTAGTTTTGTGTTGTGTTGTGTTACTTACTCATAACACATTATCACCAACATGAGAAAGCTCACTGAACACTAGACTTTTGATTGCACAGGATCATATACCATAATTCAGAAATCAGCAGGTAGATTAGGCCAGATTGTGTCTGAGAAGCCTATTACCCTTCTCTTTATCTAGGATTTGGAAGAAACAGCCTTGTCTGATGTATAAAGAGACATGGGGTAAATTAAACCATGTTAAATTAAAATGAATTCAAATAAGATCTTTAACTATTAGAGTGAAACTGGTAACACTTTATTTGAAGGGTGTCTAATAACACATTCATATCACCTTACATAAACACTTCATAACACGTTCATGAATGCTTAAATCAACATTCATAAATGATAAATGTTTTACATGATATTAATATGGACTACTATGTCATTTTACTGAAAGATGTTTTTCAAAATAAAAGTCCTCGTTTTATTTATTATTTTCAGTGAAACTCCTCTTTTCTGGACTGTCAGCATAAAATGACCTGACTTTATCCCTTTGGACAGAAGGTGTTTTGACACTTTTTGCCTAGACTTTCAACTTTTTAAAGTTTTTTTTTTTCTAAAGATTATATTTTGCACTATGCTATTCTTTCTACTTTTTACGCTAATTATTCATATATAAAATGTACTGTTCATTCAACACTCTATAGATAATTGTGGAAAATGTTACTTATACTAAGTTGAACTTTCTTGGGGTAAATGCTAACACTGTTATCCCAATTACTGTGGAGGTTTTATTTTTAGTGATGTTCTTCCTCACTTACGGTTTTGGAGAAAGCACAAGTATAACTGTGCATTGGTTATCCTGTGTAACTGAGGTTAAATGTGACAAGCACTGTTATCACAAGGAATGATTCCTTTTTTTGGCATTACTTCAAAGTCAATCGAGTGGTGCCTCTTTGACTTTCTTCACTCAGGGTGCTGATGATTTTGTAAGAAATGTCCTTTATAAATTTGCCTTGCTTTGCCTTCACCATAAAAGTGATGGAAGCCACGTTATCCTCACTAAAGTGTTACATGAATGGATGGATCTTAAATGGAATGGATAAGTATTATGGACCTGTCCCACCACACAGAGTTTGAGACTTTAAGTTGATTGACTGCTCATAGCATATTTATGAGTAATTCACTGTCCATATAGTAAAGTGACATGCAAGACAACATTCATAAGTGATTCATAGCATTTTTAAGAGATGTTTATACACCATGTGTATAAATAGTGATAGTGATTAAAAATTAAATATCTACAATTATTTTCCCTACTTTGCAGCAAAACCCAATGACTGTGAAAAGGAGTCAATAAACACCACAAGTAGGAAGGTCCTTTTTTTATTGGCAAGACCAACAGGCACTTAAACATGCTGCTCAAACTCAAATCAGGAAACCACAAACTCTTCTGAACATGGAAAATACAGATGTGTTCAATAAAATCTTCAACTCTTTTCTAAAACGAAAAATAAAAACACAACCCACTACCTTGTCACTCCTGAGCAACTTTCACATTTTGTACTTGCATCAACATAAATTTCTACTTTCAACCTGAAAACGTGTTACTGCAGAACAATGCACCATAAAAAAACCTCCCACAGAGTTCTCTGAGACCCAATCTTCTGCTATTTCTTTAGAGCATTCTTACACGTCTGCAGGACACCTTTGGTGGTCTTCACTAGGAAATGATTTATTATAGAAAAATATTTTAGCAGAAACAAAAACAAAACCAAGTATTAATCGACAATCACTACGAAACAACTGCTGTAAGTCTTTAACCATCCACCAATATTTTTCCCAGTTAAGTGATGACACTAACTCAGAGGTTGGCAACACACGGCTCTGAAGCCGCTGTCACTCTTCTTCTGGTGGCTCCACAGCAGAATCAGATTTGTAGGCAAAAATAAAATAATCCTCCTTTACAGTAAAATAAAGCTCTGCTGATCTTTCAACACAGTTTAACAATAAATGGTCTTAAACTCTGGAGTGATAATAATAGCCTATATCTAATATAATATAGCCTATATCTGCTAATTCACCCTTAAACCCTGCAGGCATCCAGACTGCTGGTCACAGCAGGACAGTCAACAGTCTTGCCCAGCTAGCCAGTAAGTAAGTCAGCTAACAAAAAAGCGGTGATTTGGATATGAATGGACTTTAAATTCATAATCACTCCAGCTGGTTTCCCGATATATTTAATCTGTAACAACAAACTATCCAATACTGAAAAGTCGCGAGGCTGAAATCAGCTTCTCGTTCGCCAGCTTGTTTTTCAAATTTACCCGTTCCACCTTAAATGCTGCAGCAGATACATTCTGGCACCTCAGGCACCATTTAAGGTGGAACGGGTAAATTCGAAAAAGAAGCTGGCGAAGGAGAAGCGACTTCAGCCTCGTAAAAAACTAACTTTGAGAGACATTTTACAAGAATTATTTCACTTTTTTTACAAGATTATTCTACTTTTGAGGAAAGTTTCGAGGTGGAGATGCGAGAAATGCGGCTTAAAGCAGAACAAAGTAAGTCTTTCGTTTATATACTTTTAGCCTATACTACCACATTAGCACATACTGAGACATATTACAGCCAGGATAGTAAAATGATTTTTGTTGACACTTCGCCGACCCCTGGTGTAGACCACGTCACTAGCCAAACGTTAGCGAGAGTGGACCTTGCGTTTGGGACTAGTTTGTTTAACGTATCACTCCGCATCACTGCTGTGCGTCATAAGGAATGCTCATTTAGGCCCACTAACTACTTCAGCTCGACTGGCACGGTCAGAAAACTGTGCGCTAAGTTAAATCAGTATCAGTTATTTAAGTTCGAAAAAAAGGATGTTGTTATCAAGACCCGCATAAGGTCTATTAATCTTTGGGGCTTAACTGAATCATGTAACTTAGCTAATTAGGTGATGTTAACATTAGCCTGATGCATTCTAATAGCTAATGTAAGGTAGCGTTAGCCTGCTAGCTAGTTAGCAAAGTTTCTTGGCTACAGTTACTGATCATAAGCAAAGTAGCTAATTTAACTGCTGTACTGCTAGTTATATATCATACCTCTGCTATGACAGTCTATCTAGCCCACTAACACAACGTTCATGTGCTTCCAGTATAAATAGGCTCATCCTGTGCGTGTAGAGTTCCACACATCTGACTGCTCCTGTTTGATCTTTTTATAGCCAGAGGAGGACAGACAGCCAGCAGCAGAGCCAGTATCATGATATCTTCAGACTCTTGCAGTGACTTGTGCCGTTTCGTTTATTTTCTTCATATTTTTGTTTTGTTTTTCAGAGAATTTAAAATAATTTCAGTCTAAGAAGAAAAGGAGCAAAGTGAAGGCAATACCCCTTAAGTAATGGCCACATGAGGTGGTTTTATTTTTCGTTTTAGAAAAGAATTGAAGATTTTATTGAACACATCTGTATTTTCCATGTTCAGAAGAGTTTGTAGTTTCCTGATTTGATTTTGAGCAGCATGTTTAAGTGCCTGTTGGTCTTGCCAATAAAAAAAAGGACCTTCCTACTTGTGGTGTTTATTGACTCCTTTTCACAGTCATTGGGTTTTGCTGCAAAGGTAAGGAAAATAATTGTAGATATTTAATTGTTAATCACTATCACTATTTATACACATGGTCTGTAAACATCTCTTAAAAATGTTATGAATCACTTATGAATGTTGCTTTGCGTGTCACTTTACTGTATGGTATATTAACAGCTCCTTAAAATGCTATGAATCACTTATGAATGTTGTCTTGCGTGTCACTTTACTATGTGGTATATGAACAGCTCCTTAAATGCTATAAATCACTTATGAATGTTGTCTTGCATGTCACTTTACTATATGGACAGTGAATTACTCACAATATGCTATGAACAGTCAATCAACTTAAAGTCTCAAACTCTGTGTGGTGGTGGGACAGGTCCATAATGCTTATCCATTCCATTCAATATCCATCCATTCATGTAACATGCACTTTAGTCAGGATAACGTGACTTCCATCACTTTTATGGTAAAGAAAGTTAAACTTAGTTTAAGTAACATTTTCCACAGCTATGTACAGGCTGTTGAAATAACAGTACATTTTTAAAGAAGAATTAGCATATAAAGTAGAAAGAATAGCATGAAAAAGGTAGATAAACAATATGGGCGAAAAAGTGAAAAAGGGAGGATTGGAGTGATGAAAAACAGAGTAAAGTGGATTAGAAATAAGCACTTGTAGTACACATATCAGGTCAGGACTTATTTACTATGTGAAGTAGGTTCTAATTTGTTCTACTTCTATCCTGTTCTAATTGGGATTCTGTTTATGCCCCCACACATATGTACAGTGTCTTCTGCAATTATTGGCACCCTTTTAAGATGAGTTAAATGTTGCTCAGAAATTCACCTTTTGATAAATTAGCCCTAATTAGCCGTAGCCCTAACACTGAAAAAGTGAGAAAAATCCATCCTTTACGTGAAACATGAAGTACATTTATTTAACCGAACCATGTGTCACAATTATTGGCACCCCTAGTAAGTATAAGGAGCAAAATATATCTGAGATATTTATTCCAGTTATGTTTAACTTTTTTAAGTTGATCAACGTTTCTAGGAACTTTCAAGGAGTAATTCTTAACTTCCTGTTTCATATATATATATATATATGCGTGCGTCCTGTGACCACTGAGGTTGACCAACACAAACTGTGCAGCAGCAGATGAGCTATCGTCTCTGACTTTACATCTACAAGGTGGACTGACAAGGTAGGAGTGTCTAATAGAGTGGACAGTGAGTGGACACAGTGTTTAAAAACTCCAGCAGCACTGCTGTGTCTGATCCACTCTGACCAGCAAAACACACACTAACACACCACCACCACGTCAGTGTTACTGCAGTGCTGCAAATACAGTTAAGACAATAAAATAAACTAAAATAAACTAAACTATAATGAAATAAAATAAAAATACTTACGGTTAAGCTGTACAGTGAAACGGAGTGGAGTCCAGCCTTTCCTCTCCTTCTGTAAGCAGTGAATGATGTTCAGTGGGGCATCTCTTTATATACTGTACAGGGAAACATCACTTCACCTTCCAACCAATGACAATCTAAAACTGAGAAATAACCTCAGAATGACATACAGTTCTAAAATTATCATTACAAGGCACTCCCACTTCTAGACACTCCCACTAACAGACACTCCCACTTCTAGACACTCCCACTAATAGACACGCCCACTTTTAGACACTCCCACTTCTAGACACTCCCACTACAAGACACTCCCACAATAAGGCACTCCCACTACTAGACATTCACACAACTAGACACTCTCACTATAAGGCACTCCCTGTTGAGCCTTTGGGCCCAGCTGTCCACATTCTGGGTTTGGGTTTAATGAGAAACAGATTTCTGTACTTCCTGTCTGTTGCCTCATAAGGTTATGAAATGACTGTTTGAGTGAGGTCAATGTGCAGTGTGTGTGTTTAGAAGCAGAGGAGCACAGAGTTTGGCCTGCTCCTCTGTATGTGTGTCAAATTAAAAATTTTAATAGACTGAACCTTCAACTTCAGTTTGTTTTAAAACTCAGTGATGCAAGTAAAGTTTATTTATATAGTGCTTTTTACAACAGGTGTTGTCACAAAGCAGCTTTACAAGGAAATCAGCATTACAGAAAGAAGTCCGGGTCCGAGCCCCCATGAGCGTCGCCAGTGGCGACAGTGGCAAGGAAAAACTCCCTAAGAGAAACAGGAAGAAACCTTGAGAGGAACCAAGACTCAGAAGGGGAACCCATCCTCCTCTGGACCACACTGGATAGCAAAGATTGTTAGTATAAAAACAGGGAAAACAGGTGGAGCAATGATTAATTTGATTAGTTTAGTTCATGCAGCAGCAGCGGCAGCATCAGTGGGGTCAGGTTGTGAGGGTGAGGTTTGCACGGCGTAGTACAGCATGGAGCTTGATGGTGGTCAAGCTGGTTCAGAGGGCTGGCGAGCAGTGGCACCCAATCAAGGCAGAAGAGGCAGCAGCATCAGACGCACAGGATGGGCAGCTGTTCAACTCGGCAAAGAAAAGAAAGAAAGGAAACACACAGAGAGTCAGTTCTGTAATGGGTGTCAGTTCTGTAATGGGTGTCAGTTCTGTAATGGGTGTCAGTTCTGTAAGGGGTGATTGATCACAGATTAAAGTGTTAGCAGAGACTCTGGCAGGTATAGAACTGACAGGGAAAACAAGTACGTTTTTAGCCTAGACTTAAACACTGAGGCTGAGTCTGAGTCCCGAACATTAACAGGAAGACTGTTCCAAAGCTGGGGGGCTTTGTATGAGAAGCTCCACCCCCTGACGTAACTGTATTAATTCTAGGTACTAATAGTGAGCAGCACCTTGTGATCTAAGTAGGCGTGATGGTTCATAGTGAGAGAGAAGTTCACTCAGGTACTGAGGGGCGAGTCCGTTTAGAGCTTTGTAGGTCAGTAAGAGAATTTTATAATCAATGCGAAATTTAACTGGTAACCAGTGTAAGGTTGATAAAACTGGGCTGATATGGTCAAACTTTCTGGTTCTAGTAAGAACTCTGGCTGCAGCGCTCTGGACTAGCTGAAGCTTGTTAAGGCTTTTGCTGGGACATCCAGCCAGCAGGGCATTACAGTAATCTAGCCTTGAAGTAATAAATGCATGAACTAACTTTTCTGCATCCTGTAGAGAGAATGCATTTCTTAATTTATGCATTTCTCAATGGAACTAGGGTTCCTTCTACCAGTCAGATACAGGACGTCCCAGCCAGATTTTTAAAAGTAAATTTCACATGAAACGATGTGCATAAGCCCAAAACTATGACCCTGATTAAGGTTTAACCTCCTAATTTCAACGACATGGCACCTGCCTGTGTGCCTGTTTGACCTGAAACAAATGGCCTGGAGACCAGTACAGAAGCTACACAGTCAGATACATATTTCTTCTTTGTGTGCTTCAGAGTTCAAGTTAGGCCTGATTCTGTAAGTTTTCCAAAATCAAAGAATATTTTTTTTTGAGACGATATGTTCTATCACAATGACAAGCTTGAAAGCTGTAATTTTCAAAAAAACGTCAGAGCTGTTGTTATCAGAAGACAATGCTTAATACCTTTTAGTATTAAACATCACTTTTGTACACAGTAACTTAAATCATCCAATAAAATTACTTCAATAATTAAAATCTGTTTTAAAGAGAAACTTTACTTGAAAAGTCAATCTTGTCAGGATTACAGGTGCACAAAGAGAATACATTTCCCAAACATCAATACCTGTATGATTGATCTTTGAAACAGCACTGTGGGGTCAGTGGAACATCCCCTCAATTAGTGACCAAAGGCAGCTCTGAGTAAGCCAATGTAGCAAAAGAAAAACTGCCCACAATCTGTTTACAGTAATCATTGGATAGTGCGTTTCACCAAACCTGCCACTGTAAAGAGCAATGTCATGTCTATAAGAACCTATGAATGAATAATTTATATTTCATTATAATGCATTCATAAGGCATCATAAATATGGCTAAAATATTTATAAAAATGCCTCACACTTCATAGCCATGTTCATTATGCATTATGAATTGATGATGCATTATAAGTACGGTCAATAACCCGTTAAAAGAGCTTATAAGCTGTGTTTGTCAGCTGTCAGTACAGTGAGACGTGTTTTACACTAAAGGCTCCTCCAGTGTTCACAGTGAAGCTTCGAGCTGATTTACTGAATCACTGAAACACACAAAGTGAAGCTCATTACAAGCTTTAACTGTCAGTTTAAACCAGACCTCAATCAGTCGAGTTTTACCATTGTGGAAAAGTCAGTGTTCACCACTGTTAGCTCAGCGCTAACTTAACACTGCATATCCAGTAGAGCGCTAGCAGAAATTAGCATTACTGTAGTGCAGTGTAGTGATGATACACAGTGAAGGTTCTATAGGTTAATGCTAGAACCACATTACAGTGATAGCTCTCTACTAATCTGCCTCTCTCTCTTCAGGCCTTCACTCCACAGTGACCTCATGCACAGTGTGATGTGAGAGGGGGGCTGATGGGTACTGGGTGTGCTGTGATGTAGTGTTTACAGTGAGAGCGCTGGCTGAGGGGAGCGCAGTGTAGTAATAACTCTGGGCTGAACGGTTTTTTTAGGGATCTGAATTTTCAGGACTGAAGACTCAGAAGTGTACATTCCTCTGATCACACCAAGCACTGCTGATCATAACACATACACCTCCCCCTTTTCTCTTCCCGGAGAGGTCCTTTGTTCTGTCCCTGAGAGATCAATGACCTCTTTGAGAGCCTCAGTGTGCATAGGTGAAGATGCCACACATATTGTTGGAGACACTGCTATTAACCTCCAGACTAAAGACTCTTATTAAAATGACTAAACCTTATTGCATTGAGTTAGTTTATAGGCTACTGTTACTGTAGCCTACTGTTTCTATTAGGCTGAATCATATAAAATAGAGATCTGCACCCACAGGACTTACTACAATATCTTGCAGCATGGGACTAATTTTCAGTGCTGTTTGTGGGAGTGGATGGGAAATCAGACCCCTTCAGGAGGGAGTGGGATGAAGCATGCATGAAGAGAAATCCCACAAATTAATGAATAGCCTAAATAAAGTAGAACGATCACTAAATTATCAATACAAATAATATAAAAGGATAACAGTAAAAAAGTTTAAATGAATGACATCATTCTAAAGAGCTGCGAAGCAACCGATTACATGAACAACACATGCAAAAACACATGCACAGAGCTCAAACGTAACACCTATGCTTTGTGTTTATTGGGAATAAATGGCGTTTGGTGAAGTCATTTCACAGTGAGTGGGACAAAACGCATCAGTTGCAGGTGAGAGCGGGAGAAATTATTCCAATTTTCTGCTGGAGCGGGATGAATTCTTGTGAGAGCAGGTGGGACTGAAAAAACACAGTCCCAAGCAGATCTCTAATACAAAGTACCTAGCATTTGGTAGGTAAATATGTAGTACTTAGAATGAATTTTCTGGTACACACAAGTACATAATGTGCTCCCCGGACAAAAAAATGAGTCACCTTGCGTGTTCAGGCTCCTGCAGATGGTGTTGCACAAGGATGATCGGGCTATAAATACCTGCAGGGTGTGTGACAGTATTCATAGATTGAGCAGAGGTTGTACAGTGCAGTGAATGTCTCGTTCAATGTGTGAAAAATGGGTTGCAAAGCAGATATTAATGATAGAAGTGATTGTGTTTGGGCGCCAAAGGCCACAGTGTGAAGGAAGTAGCTGAATTTGCAGGTGTATCAAAGCATATGGCCATACAGGTCGACCAGCAGTGGCAAAAATCTCAGTCTACAGGAAATTGAATCCTCTTGAAAATCTGTGGGACTACTTGGAACAACGAGTAAGATGCCAGGGAACTGCACAATTCTTTGACGGAAGAGTGGCTGAACATTGATGTCACCTACATCCATAAACTTGCCCAGTCCGCCAAATCGAACTGCAGCTGTTATTCGTGCTCATGGAGGAATAACACGCTATTAGGTATGTTTCAGTCCTGTGACGTTAGGTGCCAGGTATGTGCAGCCAGTACTTACTCAGAATTTAATGGTAAATATTCAGGATTTAGAAGTAATAAATACTTGGTACATATACACATTTGTGCTTGCGTCAAAAATGCTGCTTTGTGGAGTGTGTGAATTTAAAGCGTCCTTTGTTTCTTTATATTTGATACAACGTCAGATTCCCATATGGTTTTCCAAAATGTAGAAGAAAATTTTCTTCTTTCAGTTCATTCAATGTTCACGTGACCAGGGCTCACTATAACTTGAGAGAAAGATCTACTCATCGTAGTGTGTCTGCTAGGTTAAAATGTGCATGGGAGCTCTGTAGCAGGGAATGTGAAAGTCTCAAGGCGCTTGTGTCTCATTTATGTGCTCATTTGCAAGAGGGGCTTACTGTTACTTGTCCTTCCAGCCTTGCAGCAAAATTTTAAAAGTAAAACCATCTTTCTCTTCTCATGTGGCAAGATATTACAAAAACTGGGATGTAGCTCAAGTTGCTTCTAGTCATCTTGCTGAAACAAAAGAACGTTTGGACGACTTCAGTGAAAAGATGTAGAAGTTGTTCGTGCAGAGCCACGTATTGAAGCTGAATTTGAAATACCAGTGACTGACCCCCTTGATAAATACACTGAAAACTTATCTCTCTTTTTTCTTGGCCTGCAAGAAAATGATATGGTCCCTGCATCTACAATAACAG